GGGAACTGGGGGGAGGGGCTCTCGGGTCCTGCTCGTATCTTACCCCTTTCGCAAGGCGCTGGGTTCTTGCAGGTGTGGATGTGGTCTGGATGTTGTCCTGTGTCCTCTGGTCTCTATTTTAGGAAGAGTTTTCTTTGTTATATTTTCATAGCTCTATGTGTTTTTGGGAGGAGATTTCCACTGCTCTACTCACGCCGCCATCCTGTCTTGTTTTTTTGACAATAGCCATTCTAATATGTGTGAGGTGATAGCTCATTGTGGTTTAGATTTGCATAATTACTGATGCTGAGCACCTTTTCATGTACCTGTTGGCCATCTGTCTTCTTTGGAAAATGTCTATTCAGATCCTCTGCCCATTTTTTAATTGGATTTTTTTTGTTTGTTTGCTATTGTATGAATTCTTAATACATTTTGGATACTAACCCCTTACCAGATACAGAATTTGTAGTAGTATTTTTAAAATAAAATTCTGCTGGACCTATAATTATAGTCAATTAGGTTTTCATAATCAGCTCACTACTCTCTTGGAAATGAAGCCTCCATTGTCTCACCATCCATTATATGAAAATGATTTTTGAGCAGGAAAGCAAAAGGAATCTACTTTTATGTCTCAACTAATTGCTCTTGATCTCGTTCCCTAATGCCCTTGTTCTGGAATGGTTTAAAGGCCGTGATGTCAACAACCTCTTTCTTGAGAAACTGAGACAGCTCAGTTTCTGTCAATGGCTGTGGACTCCCACACCACTGAGGCTCCGTCAGATCTGAGACAGCTCTATTCCACCATTATCCAAGAGTGAACAAGAGGCACGTTTCACATCTACAACTCGGAAAAGTCATCAAATTGCTCACATTTATAACCACCACTGTTGTCTTCTGTGACACTTTATCCCCACATATGAAAGGATTATCTTCCCTCTTATAGTTCCAAAGGACTTCAGAAAAATATATTGGTTTTCCTCCTGTTCATTGACCATTACTTTTTCCGTAGTTAATAATGTATGTATTTTTCTAGGTGACCAAGATATCAGCGTGCTTTCTGAATACATCTCAAAAATGAAAGTAGTGTACCCAGCAGTTGAAGGTCGGATCAAGTTTTCTGCAGGAAGTCATTGCCATGGAAGCTTCTCTCTAATATTGTTCTCATTTTTGGCACTGATCACTGTTTTATACCAATAGCCAAAAATTCTCCTTGCCATAATGGGTGGAACTACATTTTTTCTCAAGTGAGCTTCAAGTCTGCCTTGAAGGAAGACCAACTTTGCAGGTTCCTGGAAGCTGAGCTTCAAGGGTCATCAGTGAAGACACTGACATCACTACTCAGGATAAGCAGCTTAGTGTACACACAAGAAATGAACGCGGGCCCTTTGAGGCCAAGGCCAACCATCTTTAGTTTATGTATGCAAATTTTAATATTTTTATTAACAATTTTAAATCACAGGAATCACTTTTCTCCTTTATATCCACTCCTTTATATCATTCTGTTGGACCTATAGTTATAGTCAATTAGTTTTTCATTATCAGCTCACTACTCTTTTGGAAATGAAGCCTCCATTGCCTCACTGTGTTTATATGGAACTTTATCACAATACAAGGGAGTTTAAAGCACGTTATCTTATTTGATGCCCATAACTTTCTTTGATGGACAAGACAGGTGGTTCTTCCCATTTGAAAGGTGAGAACACTGAAGTTCAGAAAAAGTTGGCTTGTTCAAGACCATACAACTAAGAGTAACATAGCCAACCAAGACTGCACTCAAGTCTTCTAACCTCAAGTCTGGCACTTCCAGCTACTCTGCTGTTCAGAGTGATAGTTAATTGTCTCCCTCTTCATAGCTATCAATAGGCCCAAGCTCATGGATAACAAGTCTCTACTTTATTTGTGGTTTCTATTTTTTTCCTCTTTAGCTCCTGTTGTTATGGTGAGTTTAATGGACTAAATCCAGGGTAGGATTCTCTTTTGCACCACCCACATGCCTTTCATGAGTCAGGGAATGGGTGGCATAGTGGGAAAGGCCATAGGCTGCAAAAGGAAGTCAAGGGCAGGAAAAAAGAGAAAGGAAGAACAGGACAGCCAGGACCAATTTACATTATAGAAGAGAAAGAGAACTAAAGGGCATTTAGATTTGTTAAATAAGTGTTTGCTAAGGAGTAGCAGCATAGTCCCTGAAACATGGTATTAGCTGTTAGTACTTTTGAGATCCCATCAGTACTGCCTCTGTTCTTCTTTCTTCCTAACGTGAAGACATCATAAGAAGAGAGCCTTTTGAGACAAGGTATAATTCTAAACCTGCGTCTGTCCCTCCCCAGCAAGATGCCAGCCCTGTACGCCATATGCACACATTCTCCCCCTTCTTCCCCAATTATGGGAAATCCAGAGGAGAGACAAGGGTTGACTCTTAGGAGCGGTGTGCATAGGACGTGTGAAGTCGGCTCTGCCTCCAAACCTGACCAGCCATTCTCAAGTCATTCTCAAGTACAGACACAAGGACCCCTGCCTAGAGTGGGCCTCCTAGTGGGCCTAGGAAATACCGAGACTGATCAAAACCCTTTCTTAATGTGGTAGTGGGACCATGTGAGCCCGCCCAGCACCACATAAATGATTCAGCAAGAACTGAGAGCCTTCACCTTCAGAAGTAGTGAGCAAACAGCGACTAGAGGCATGGGGAGAAAGTCTGATGGTTTCTTAATGTTTACAAATATTCAGTACTCTTCATACAAAATACGCTTTTAAATTTCATAACATCTTTAAAAAGATTGCTACAGTAAAATAATGGCCTCTGTTTTATGCATATACAGATTAGCTATAAATAAAAGTAAGATTTTAAGAGAGAAATCAGAGAAATGCACATTTGGGGTACATTTTTTATGCTTTGCCAGTAAAATAGGGTCAATCCTGCTGGAGCACAAATTTTTGAAGAACATCTTTGTATAGTTTTCTAAATATGTGTGTGCATTTATTGTGTAGTGATTTAAGAAATCAGCATACTTTGCAATTGTAGATTCAGTTGAGTGATTCAACTGTACAATAAAACTGAAGATATCCTCCTGGTCCCTTGTAGTTATTTCTTTCAAGCAAACACCTATATAACCCAAGACGGTATGACTGAAAAACAACTCTCCTTGGATCAGAACTTCCTTGCCATCTGATAACCCTCCCTTTCCCCCTTATCACCCAAAAAAAATGAGAAGAAAAATGCATGCAGCTTTTGGGTAGGAGTGAACAGTAAATAAAGGGTATTTTAAATAAGACTATTCAATTTTCTGGTTTTCATGTGCAGAATGTAATGAGGAAACTGTTTTAAGGCCTGCAATGATTTCCTAAAAAATAATGAAGTTCAAGTTATACTAGTGTTGGGAATTTAAATTAATTTATCAGAACTTGTTGTGCTTCTAAGAATCAGCATACTGGTAACACAGTATGTCATTAGTTACACCTTGATCAAGCCGACACAGTAAATCTATATGGTGGCAAAGCTACCTTCAGCAGTTAGCAAGAAAGTGTAAGCTGGGTTCCTGAGAAGAAAGTTTAGTCTGTTAATAGTCCATTAGAAAACGTTGCTCCCTTGGGGTATGTGGTCCTACAGGTGGATGACTAACCTTGCCAGTTTAGAAAAGGTCCCTGATTCGTTTCCTAGGGCTGCTATAACAAAGAACTGCAAACTGGGTGGCTGACACAACAGAAACTTACCATCTCACAGCTCTGCAGGCTGCAAGTCAGATCCAGGCGGCAGACCGGTTCCTTCGGAACGCTGTGAGGGACAATCTGTCCCAGGCCCTCGCCTAGCTTCCGCAGCCTCACGCATTCCTTGCCTTACAGCTGGTACTCTCCCCAAGCTTTTACACCCTTTTTCCTCTGCACTTCTGCCTTTCTTTCCAAATTTCCAGCTTTTTATAAGGGCACAGTCATACTGGATTAGGCCCACTCTAATATTAGACTTCATTTTAGAGTCTGCAAAAACTGTATTTCAAAATAAGGTCATATTCACAGGTACTAGGGGTTAGGCCTTGAAGACCTGCCACAAGTCCTCAACATCTTTTTGGGGGACACAGTTCAATCCTTAACAGTCCTTTTGCATGACCTACATAATCAGCTGAGGCAACCAGCACCTTCTGTGTTCTATATTTTTGCAACTGAAAGGTTATAATTTTTTGCGCTGGAAAAACAGGATACATTTTAGAAGTTGATTGGCTCAACTACAGCAAGTCCAAAGAACCAGTTTTTCTGTCTAATGCAGTCAAAAGGAGGAGTTTCAACTTTTTTTAAACAAATTGGGAGATCTTAAATTTCTAGTGAATAGTACTGACGGCTCTTAAAAACCTGAATGAAATATTTCATGAAAATATTTAGTTAATAAATAAGCGAGTCAAGGTATGAAAACAATTTAGCTGATCCATGACAAAGATGCCTGACATGTGAAAAGCAACAATGGAAATTATATAGGCTCATTATTTATTTTAGATTCTTGGTTGTGAACAAAAATGTAAGCAGAAACATATCAAAAGCATATTAAGTAGCTCCCAGAATCTACAAGAAGCATGGAGAGCCAGGACTAAGAAAATGGAGAGCAAGAAAGGTGAGTGAGGCACGGCTGAAGTCCTGCTACAGGGACAGTCTTCGTATGCCACCTTGGGGCTGCCGGGTACGCCTCACGCAAAGGCCTATGACCGGTCTGGTGCCTCCACTAGGATGGGAGCATCTAAGTTGCTGAGCCTGGTTGAGGCCCAAGTTGTCTTTCATAAAGACAGAAGGCTGAGTGGAAGATTTAACTCCAACCTTGTGGCTTCCATGGTGAACTTTCCTTCTCTCCCAATTACCTTGAAATTCCTCCAAATAAAAGTGTTCCAATTCTGGACAATCAAAAATGAGACTGTCCCTATGAATACTCTGAGGACTTTCAAATACAACAAATAAACATGAAATATATTAAAAACAAAAATGTTACCTTCTGTCTTGAAAACTGTACTGTACCTCTCTCCAATGTACATTTACCTGTGACATCCACATCTTTATGAAAGTCAAAAATGCCACAGAAGTAAACACACTACAACTGTTTTTTGGCAAGACAAATAATTTGTAAGCATGTTAGCAATAAAATCAGCCCCTATTTCAAATACTATTTCATGAAGAAAAATAAATATGGCTAATCAAATTTCTAATTGAGCTTTAAGTTTTTATTTTGATTTTTTTTCAGACCTATACTCTAGATGAGTAAGGAAATCTATACATTTAAAGAATAAATGTAAGTTTTATTTTACAGGTTGAATCACAATGTATTGACTTTATATGTTAGCATTAACACAGTATTTCTGAAAATTTCATGAGCCTATTGTGTTAAACTGATTTTGTAATCATAACTTGTGCCATAACTAAGAAATACTTATAGTGTCATTCCTATTCATCTACAACACAGATACATTATTATCCTGCTTAAGTTTTATTCATGTAGCTTTGCCTTATTCCTTACTGAATATCAATCTTTGAGTAAAAATGAAGAGACATAAAATTAGAGATCCCAGACACTACTGTAGAATAATTCATAATAAACTAGATTAACCTCAGTAATTATTGTCCTTTAAAACAACACCACAGATTAGTAGGCTGCTGGCTACCTGATTATCAGATCAAGTATTTTTTTTAACTTTATTTAACTCTACTACCCCATCCCATTCAGGAAAGCCCACAATAAATGTAAATGAATGTAAGTAGTATTACCAGGCTAATACAGAAGCCAAGATAATCCACACTTAAAATATAAATAGAAGAATAAATCATACAGAAACTCTTCAGCACTTAAATTTTATTCACTATAATAATCAGTCATCCCCTTCAAAACTAATCAGGAGACACCAGTGGGCTTAATACTAGAACTGAGACAACTGCTAATTTCTACTAGCTAAGCTTATACTAGGGGCACCTAATAGGGAGAAGAATGTGTAACTTCAGGAAACATTAACTGTAAAAATAAACAGAAATCCACATCATTTATGAAAGATTATTAACCTATTTGTTAGGAAGACCACATGAATACCTACAACTTTATCAAAGTCAGTACAGAAAATTAAAACAGAGTAACTGAGCACCTGGTGCAGGTGCGCGGACGGCAGCGCCTCAGCAGTGCCAACTCCCTCCCTCTGATGCTCAGCTCGCCTGCCACCCAGAATTACTTGGATCTGTCAGTGTCCACATGCTGCATCTCTTACACAGGCAGACCTCATTTTACTGCTTTGCTGTGGTTTGCAACAACCATGCCAAGTAAGTATATCGGCACCATTTTCCAACATTTGCTTTGTTTCTGTGTCACGTTTTACTAATTCTCACAATATTCAAACTTTTTTATTACATTTGTTATGGCAATCTGTGATCAGTTATTACAACTTACTAGAAGTTCAGATGATGGGGTTAGCCATTTTTAGCAATAAAGTATTTTTAAAGTACGTACATTGTTTTTGACATAGTGCTATCGCACACTTAAAGACTACAGTATAGTGTAAACACAACTTTTATACACACTGGGGAACTAAATAATCCATTTCATTCACTTTATTGCAACATTCACTCTACAAACCTGCAATGTCTCTGAGGTGTGCCTTGTACCCTGAATTCCCTTTAATTATTCAACATGTTTGCCACATTTTGTATTTGTGGTTGAGCAAAAAAAAAAATCCCATTAGTCTTTGTGCTCCCTCCTAACTTCTCAGCAATTCCACCTCTGTAAGAGCCTCATTCCCTTTCTTTCCAACATCCCTCTCTGCTTCTGCCTTCTCCTGAAATACCCCTTTATTTATCTGATTGAGAAATACAGGAGCAGTCTGAGCATGAGTCACAGTGCCCTAAGGTTCACTGGCATGATCAACTCATTGGCAGCACTGGCTCAGGATCATGGATAGAGAAATCTGCCTGGTCTCTTCAACATTACTTGCATTCTGGCAACAATCATGTAAAAAGTGAGGGACCTGGACCAAGGCCACGTCCCTGTCTTTACTCACCCCTCATACACATCCCACCTCAACTCTCCTAACTCCCCTCCCACAAATGAGTCTTTTGTATGAATCCCCTTCCAACGCCAGGTGCTGCTGGGCTATGCACAGGGGATACAGGGACATAGAAGCCTCCTTGCAGTTGGACTACAAAGCTGAGTGAAAGAGATGCATAAAATTAACACCTAACAGAAATAACACACGCTTGTATTTGTCTATCGAGCCTCTCTTCCCACTCCTGGAAAGAGCCCCTACTCTTTGGGAAGCCTGCATCTCTCTCACCTCAGCTAGTTCAGGTGAGACAGCTGATCACAAAACCAGTCTCCTAGCCCTAGGTGTCAGCCTACGGCCCAGGCCTCACAACTATGTCTGATGATGTTGGTCTGAGTTCCTGGTCCAGGGAAAGGCTTTGCGACTTAAGCTACCAGTAAGAACCCTTCCACAAGCTTTTATATGTGTGGATGTAAGAGACACAAGCTTCCATTCGATCCTGTAAAAACCCTTGGGATCATGTCATTCCATAGCTGCTTGGAACTGCCCTTCACTGCATGAAGGCCTCCGGAGAAGGACCACCATCAAGTCAGAAGCTGAGATGAAAGACAGACGTACACGAAGAGAGCCCTGAGGTACTGAGTGCTGGGAAAGTCTCCCTAAGCGTGACTTCATACTGGCTCTCCATAGCTGGGTTACATGAACAAATGCATTTCTTTTTTTACAACAATGTTGAGCTCTGTTACTTACAGTCAAGAGCATAAACTAGCCCAAACTTGGAGAAAATGTCCAGAAGTTTCCCTCAGCACCTGTGTGTATGGAGGTAAGAAGGGAGGGGAGTTAAATAGCAAGAACAAGAAGACATTAAGTAACGTGCCAAATAAAAGGAAAAGAAGGGACACGAACTCAGCAGTCCAAGCAGGTTTACTGCTAAACCTGAGAGGGACCCCTCTGTTCTGGCGAGCAGAACAAAGAAGGCTAAGAGGCTTTTTGTGGCCAGGTTTTTTGGCGGGCTTTTGAAGGGACAGGTCATGGAAAAGGTGGGCTGTGGCGGGCTGACGTGTGCTCTGGAAAATACTT